CCCTGATAGGATTAGTCTTTCACCATTTTGTCCTTCATCAGGTCAGATGTTAATGAATATATATTATATCAATAGCTAGTGTTTATTGAGCTCTGCTGTCAAGTACTATGCTTGGTTTATCTCATTTAATCCTCAAAACAATCCTGTGAGGTAAGCACCATTATGACCCCCAATTCCAGACAGAGGCTCGGAAAAGTATGAAGCTGGGCTATGGTGACTCCCCTCGTAGGTGGTGGAGCTGTGACATAAACTCAGGTAGTCTGACTCCTGAGTACATGCTCTGATCCTCTATACTGATGACAAACTGATTTCATTATGATTTTTCTCTTGCTATAAAACTATCTAGGTCAGGGCACCCGGGTGGCTCAGTCATTAAGCGTCTGCCTTCGGCTCGGGTCATGATCTCAGGGTCCTGGGATCGAGCCCCACATCGGGCTCCCTGCTCCGCGGGAAGCCTGCTTCTCCCTCTCCCACTCCCCCTGCTTGTGTTCCCTCTCTCGCTGTGTCTCTCTCTCTGTGTCAAATAAATAAAATAAAACTATCTAGGTCATAGTGCCCTCTTCTTCAGATCATTCCCTTATTCAGTAAATATTTACACTTGATCTTAGCCAAAAGGTCAAGAAATAATTACTTAGGGGTGCCTGGGTGAGTCAGTCATTAAGCGTCTGCCTTCGGCTCAAGTCATGATCCTCACATATGCCAGGCAAGTCTAGTAGGGATTAGAAATAGATTGAAAAACAAAACAGACAAACTCGAAAAAAACCTTTTTTTTAAGCAGGAGAGGAAACAACATACAATTAAATAACAAATGAAATAAAATAATTAGATTAGGAATAATACTAGAAAGAAAATAAATAGGATATATGGGAAAAAATAAAAGGGAGGGGCACCTGGCTGGCTCAGTCAGAAGAGTATGCGATTCTTGATCTTGGGGTTGTGAGTTCAAGCCCCACGTTGGGGGTAGAGATTTCTTAGAAAAAAAAAAAGTTCAAAAATAAAAGGTGGGGGCACCTGGGTGGCTCAGTGGGTTAAGCATCTGCCTTCAACTCAGGTCATGATCCCAGGGTCTTGGAATCGAGCCCCACATCGGGCTCCCTGCTCAGTGGGGAGCCTGCTTCTCCTTCTCTCTCTGCTGCTCCCCCTGCTTGTCCTCTCTCTCTCTACCTCTCTGTCTCAAATAAATAAATAAAATCTTTAAAAAAAAAAAAAAGGAAAGAATAAGAGGGAGAAACCAACTTTGGAGAGTGTGCTTGGGGAAGGCTTCTCTGAGGAGGTGATATTTAAGCTTAGACCCGAAATAAAGGAGGCAGGGTGCAGGAGCTATGGGAGGAACATTCTAGTAGACTAGAGGAACAGTGTCTTCAACAGATGCAACTCCCTGCCTTTGATGTTTGACCTGTAAGCTCTCCAGGATACATGATTTCACTATCTTTATAGTCTAGCAGTGGGAGAGTCAACAGTTTCTCACCGGTTCATTTCAATGTTCTAATGTAGTTTAGATGTTCTTTCTTATGTTCAACAGGAAAAAAATTAAAAATTGCTGATACTATTTCTGATCTTATTAACATCTTAGTGCATTTCCTTCAAATCAGTTTTTTAAGCTAGTATCTCTTATTTGCATTCCATGTACAAGTTTCTAGGCTACAAGTTTTGCGTGCATTATTATATTCTCTCTTCACACAACTCCAGGAGTAGGCAGTTGTTTTAAAATGAAAAAAAAAAAAAAAAAAAAACAAGCATAAGGAGGTTAAGTAACTTTTCCAGGCACATGAGCTGGTCAGTGGCAGAGCGGGAACCTGACCCCCGAACTGCCTGATGGGAGTCTCCACTCTAACCACTGTGGCTTCTCCTTGGCGTGAGTGCAGGTTATATGTATTTCTCCCCAAATTTATAGCCTGCTGATTTTGTCTTCTATTTTTCCACATCATTAAATATTGACTGTTTTTTTCTTGATTCCTTGTTTTCTGTCTCATGCTATATAGATTGAGCGTTCTTTCCTTTTACCTATTCCAGTGATTCAGAAGGTGTGCTTTCTGTGTTTAATTCCAGTAATGATCATCTTTAAACAAAGACCACCTACTGAGAACAAATAGAGGCTATTTATTCAGCGCTTGCTACAGCAAGGGAAACCTTCACCATGCCTTGGATTTTGTGTTTCACAGAGACTCAAGGCAGGCAGGGGAGTGGAGAGGCTTTGTGTGGCAAAAAGGAAGATTCGGGTATGCTCTGATTTGAGGTTGTTGCCACAGGGAGGCTGGAGGCTGGCCAGCTAGAAGGGGGCCTCTTATGTGATTAGTTTGGGGAGTATATTTGACTTTCCCTGGCTGGTCCAAAGTTGGAGGAAGCTAACACAGTGAGGGCGTTGGCAATCATTAACGGAGTCTAGACCATTCTGGGCCAGTTGCTACAGAGGTTGTAGTTGGCTTCCTGGGCTGGCGGTTCCAGAGGTTTGGATCAAGTTTTGTGGTCATATCTTATCTGGCCATTGTCTGTTTCTCTCTCACTTAGCAGAAATATTGGAGTCTTTTGTTAATCATTCCAAGTACATTGCCTATGGGGCGCCTGGGTGGCTCAGTCGTTGAGGGTCTGCCTTCGGCTTAGGTCATGATCCCAGATCCTGGGATCAAGCCCCGCATCGGGATCCCTGCTCGCCGGGAGGCCTGCTTCTCCCTCTCCCACTCTCCCTGCTTGTGTTCCTGCTCTTGCTATCTCTGTCAAATAAATAAAGTCTTTAAAAAAAAAAAAAGAAAGAAAGAAAGTTGCCTATGATAGAAATCCTATGACTTACCCAAAGTCACATAAAATGAGAGTGTCACTCAGAATTTGAAGCTGGCCTATCCCCAAAGCCTGCGCTCTTAAATGAGTGCTATACTGAATTCCCCCACCCCCTCTCTTTCACACACACACACACACAGCCCAACTACATGAGTATTTGAGGGGCTATATGAAAACATAACTAATGTTCAGAGATATTTTTTAATAAATAAAATGTGTTACTTCCATGCCAAAGAAGTGTCAAAGAGTTGCTTTCAAACCTATTGCTTACTCTAAATTTCAAAACATTTATCAGCATTTCTTAGGACATATACACAGAATTATTTTATGACACAAACAAATATTAGTCTCATTAACTAACAATCATAACATGCTTTTGGTCAGAAAGTACTGAATGGCTCCATAAGACTTTTGGGTTATTGTAAAAGATAATTTTTTTCACTTGAATCAAAATTTCCCCTTATGTGAATATTCAAAAGAATCTGCTACAAAAATCATATAAATTCCTTATGGTTCTGTAGCTATAGTACAGGAATGTTCTTATGCAGCTATTAAAAAATTCTATTAATGAAGACCACATAGAAGACCACATAGAAACATGGGAAATATCTATTATGTTAACATAAAAGATGGTGTGCATATTATACTGCAGTTATGTAAAAATATGCATCCACATAGACAAGAACAAAGACTGGAAAGTAATTTGCAAAAAGAAAAATAATTGCAAAATAATGTGGGATCTTTCAGATTTTTTCAAAATGTTCTCCAGTGTTTTACCATATTAAAGTAGCTAGTCTGTATGCTAGATGGCTTTATTAAGTGGACCAGTAGCCTGTGGACAGTAATTCACAAAGGAAATAAGAAGATCTCTGCCAGTTTTTTGAGAACCGCTCCTTAACCACGGGGATAAGAGGTTTTCCTCTCCATAACAAAGGAGATAATTTTCCTTTCCTGAGGCCGTTTTGAAAAGCTGTTATTTTTCCATTCAGAATGTACAATTATCATGTAAATATTCAAGTTCGCTTTCACAGGAGGAACATCAAACTCTTTTGATCAAAAAATGACAGCAATTTATTACCTGTATTATCAAATGTAAACTCCCCAGCCAAGCATTAAAGACTTAAAATCTCGGGGCGCCTGGGTGGCTCAGTTGGTTAAGCGACTGCCTTCGGCTCAGGTCATGATCCTGGAGTCCCGGGATCGAGTCCCACATCGGGCTCGCTCAGCGGGGAGTCTGCTTCTCCCTCTGACCCTCTTCCCTCTCGTGCTCTCTGTCTCTCATTCTCTCTCTCTCAAATAAATAAATAAAATCTTTAAAAAAAAAAAAGACTTAAAATCTCTTCTTTCCCCAGGAATACTTCAGGAGAAAGTTTTCCCTGTTAAGACTTCTCTGTAATGGTTAATTCTTCCCTTGTTTGATATACCTCATCGTGATCCAATGCTGCAAATTATACATATGGGATTAAAATAACTATAAATAAAGCTCCTCTATTCTGGTATTTTTGTCTCGCATCTTTATTTTTTAATAAAATATTACAGGATAAAATTCAGGTCTAAGATTTACATGTCAGTGTACTCTCCATGTCTCCTACAACTTGACTTTTTTCATTCAACATTGTTTTTGTGATCTGTCCACATTGTACTGATAGATTTGTTCATTTATTTTAAGTTCCCCACGGCATATTAATTGTGCTGTGATTGCAGTTTACTGGAAAACGAAGGAGCATATTCCAGAAAGATCTTGTTACTCCCCGTATGACAGGGAGGAAAACCTCTTGCCTGAAGAGCTTTCTGCCATCTTTGATTTGAAGGGTTGGGTGGAGTGGCTTTCAAGTGTGAGCACAGCTCTGAAGTAAAAAGCATCTGCTCAAGGCTAAGATAATGTGTGCTGACTGGGTGAGGGGATGAGGAGTGGTTTTAAAATACAGTTATGCTTAGAGCATATGCTCTTTAGGATGCCATTCCTCCCTCCCAGCAAGATCCTGTCACACTGGTGTTGATGGCTGTATTCTTCTGCTATGGAAGAAACAGAACTAGAGTAGACAAATGTCTCTTTGGCATTTGTCTGATACATAAAAACTTGGGTCTCAACATTCCCCTCTGGAGTTGGTGAACATTTGTTGAACACCAACAGTGAAATAGGCACAGGAAATGCAGCTGCTTGCAATATCATTTCAGGATAAGCAGGAGCCTTGCTGAGTTTTTCTGTCTGTCTTTTATTAAAGGTCCACACACGTTCCTGTCGGGGAGGATCAAGTCCAGCACATGGAGCTCGTTCAGGATCTAGCACGAGAGTTTAACAAGAAGTATGGGGAGTTCTTCCCGGTGCCCAGGTCCATTCTAAGTAAGTAACAGACATACATGACTGTTAGATCAGGCCCGGTTTCCAAGACAGGATTGGATAATGGACTGAGGCTTGGAATTTCCTTGGGACAGACTTCAGGATTTGGAACTAGAATCCCCATCTTTCTCTGTCCTGTGGGAATGGGCAGACCTCATTAGATTGTTGAATAAAATAGCCAAAAAAGTTTGAAAAGCATGGGAAAGACTAAAAATGAAAAATAATCAAATTCATTAAATTACAAAATACATATATATATACACATATTTGGTAAATTATATAATACTTTATATTGGAAAGTATATGTGGGAAAGACTAAAAATGAAAAATAATCATTTTCATTATATAGCACTATATAATTTACCAATTATATATATTTAATAAATTATATCATATGTTATATTGAATAGATATTAATAAATTAATGTATTAACATTATTATATATTAATATAGTAACATATTTAATACTTTATAAGGAATTATATAGAATATATACATATATCCTTCCCTATTTTATGGATGGGGAAACTAAGGCTTGGCAAGGCTAATTTTGCATCCAAGTCATATATCAAGCTAGTGACAAAGTTCTTCTGATTCCAAAGCCGTAGATCCTGCCTTCCCTATTCACAAGAAAATAAAACCATAAGAAAGAGAACTGCTGAATCATCAGCTAGATAAAACTAGAGGGAACTGATCATTCTTACACTCTCCTTTCTTAAATGCACATTGATGGAATGTATAATCCCCCCACTGGATCTGAAACCTCACCAGCTGCTGTGAGGCTATGCTAGTTTGGAATCTTCTTGAGGAAAGAAGCTGTGCCTCTCTATCAACATTTTGGTAGTGATGTAGATTTGTGGCAGGGGCAGAGATCACTGAGCCCAAGCTCTGTCCATCTTTATTAAGCTGACAGCATTTTATAGAGTCTAACATGGACCCAGTATCAGTTCAGAAGCATAAGGCAGGTATAAATTTCTAAGCTATTCCAGTGGTTCACACAAACAAAAAACGGGCCTACCATGCATTGAAATCAAGCTTCCTTTAGCAATAAGTAATATTTTAATGTTTTTGCCTGTTATTAAATTTACCTATTTCAAATTGATATGTTTCTGCAATAGCCATAACATAGGCAATTATTAGTAACACTGGTTTATAAAGCCAGCTTAACATCTTGATTCTATCAGAGCAATAACCAAGTCACTCGTGTGTGTGTGTGTGTGTGTGTGTGTGTGTCGGTATATACTGATACTGATATAACTGTGGTAAAGAAATGAAAGGATTGCCACAAATTGTTAAAATTTATTGGGGGCAGGAAGGGCAGTGGTTATGGGCAGAGGGTGATTAACTAATAGGGATGAGCAGAGAGGAAAAGAGAGAAGGAGAGGAAAGAAATAGACCAGACTTTTTTAAAGGATATGCACGGCTAAAGCAGTATGATTAATACAATTTCATTTGTCTAAGATTATACATTTTATGTGTATATATGCATTAAAAGATGCATGAAAATATGATCAAATGTTAACAGTTTTATTACATGTTTCAGGTGATCTTTATTTTCATGCTATATAAATGGCTTGAATTTTTCACAATGGGTATTCGCTATTTTTATAATCAGATAAAAATAATAAGGTCATATGGTAAACAACAGGTGCAGGCAAGGATGAGGAGAAAAAGGAACCTCGTGCACTGTTGGTGGGAATGTAAACGGGTGCAGCCGCTGAGAAAAATGGGATAGAGGGTCCTCAAAAAGTTAAAAATAGAACTACCCTATGATCCAGTAATTCCACTATTGGGTACTTATCCAAAGAAAATGAAAACACTGACTCAAAAATATATATGCGCCCCTATGTTTATTGCAGCATTATTTACAATAGCCAAGAAATGGAAGCAACCTAAGTGTCCATCATTAGGTGATGGATAAGGGAGTTGTGGTATTTATACACATGCTCAGCCATATATGCTCAACCATAAAAGGGATGAGATTGGGCGCTTGGGTGGCTCAGTTGGTTAAGCGACTGCCTTCGGCTCAGGTCATGATCCTGGAGTCCTGGGATCAAGTCCCGCATCGGGCTCCCTGCTCAGCGGGGAGTCTGCTTCTCCCTCTGACCCTCCCCCCTCTCATGTGCTCTCTCTCTCTCTCTCATTCTTGTTCTCTCAAATAAATAAAATCTTTAAAAAAAAAAAAAGGATGAGATTGTGCCATTTGAGACGACATGGGTGGACCTAGATGGTATAATGCTAAGTGAGGTGAGTCAGACTGAGAAAGACAAATACCGTATCTCCTTCATAAGCGGAATCTTAAAAAAAAAAAAAAGAATAAACAAACAAAAAGCAGAATCAGACCTATAACTACGGAGAACAAACTGATGGTTGCCAGAGGGGAAGAGGGGGGATAGACAAAATGGGTGAAGGGGAGAGGAAAGTACAAGCTTCCAGTTACAAATGAATAAGTCACAGGAATAAAAGGCACAGCATAAGGAATAGAGTCAGTTATGGTAATAGCGTTGTAGGTGACAGATGGTAGTGACACGTGTGGCGAACATAGCGTAATCTATAAATTTGTCAAATCACTGTGTTGTACACTGACATTGGGGTAACATGGTGTGTCAGCCCTACTCATTTATAATAATAATAATAAAGTCATTTGGTACCCTTGGCACTTTTTAAGATCTAGACACTAACATTCCTGGTGTGATGTTTTCTTATCTTGTTACTGTCTTCCGGTTTTGGTTTCGGTGTGTGCATGTTGGCGTTCCCTAGCATCCCTGAAGAAGGTGAAATCCCTCCGTGATCCTTCTGCCAAAATGTCCAAATCGGACCCTGATAAACTGGCCACGGTCAGGATAACAGACAGCCCGGAGGAGATCGTGCAGAAATTCCGCAAGGCTGTGACGGACTTCACGTCGGAGGTGACCTACGAGCCAGCGCGCCGCCCCGGGGTCTCCAACCTGGTGGCCATTCACGCGGCGGTGGCCGGCCTCCGCGTGGAGGAAGCGCTGCAGCACAGCGCGGGCGTGGACACCGCTCGCTACAAGCTCCTGGTGGCCGACGCCGTGATTCAGAGGTTTGCTCCAATTAAGAGGGAGATTGAAAAACTGAAGACCGACAGGGGCCACTTAGAGAAGGTTCTCCAGGTGGGCTCAGCCAAAGCCAAAGAATTAGCCCATCCTGTGTGCCAGGAGGTGAAGAAATTGGTGGGGTTTCTATAGGAAGCTTCCCTGCGTGGCAGAAAACCTTTTATGTCTTGTGGCCTGTGCACTCCTATTAATAAAGGCAGCTTTCCTCACAAATGAAAAATGATGGCTTGGGGACACCTAATTTTGGTACACATGATTATTGGCTTCATTCGTCAATAAGAATTTGTAACTTTCAGGGGCGCCTGGGTGGCTCAGTGGATTGAGCGTCTGCCTTCTGCTCAGGTCATGATCCCAAGGTCCTGGGATCAAGTCCCCCATCAGGCTCTCTGCTCAGTGGGGAGTCTGCTTCTCCCTCTCCATCTGCCTCTTCCCCCTGCTCATGTTCCCTCTCGCTCTCAAATAAATAAATAAAATCTTTAAAAAAAAAAAAGAATTTGTAACTTTCAAATTGAGCGGTGTTCTAAAGCCCATCAGCAAAATGCTGTGGCCAAGAAAGAAAGAAGGCATAACTCTCTGAATCCTCAATTATTTGAGACACATGCCTTACTCTGAATTTAGGTATCCGAATGTGACTGAGGTGAGCAGTAATTTGGCAAATGAGGGTATCATTTGTCTCTCTCACTGGAGTACATCCTATTACAGGTGCTCACTTTATGTGTCCCAGCCCTTTTAAATGTTTTTGTTTTGTTTTGTTTTGTTTTGAAGTAATCTCTACGCCTGACGTGGGGCTCAAACTCACCCCCCAAGAGTCACATGCTCCACTGACTGAGCCAGCCAGGTGCCCCTCTGTCCCAACCCTTTTAAAAAGTAGTATGTAGATTCTTAGACTTACAGTCCTTGGGATGCCATTTGGACCAATTTGCATTGAGATCTTATATTAATAAGTTGATTATTAGAGTTCATTTGTCACTAAGATAGTACCTGCCTAAATGTATTTAAGCTGCTTACCTTGTTCCCAATGAAACCACACTGACTATCCCAGTAAATATTGTTTATCTTGTTTAATTCAGAAATACATGATACAATCTTCTGAGAAGGCTGCATTATTTCAACTTGATTGATTCACAAGAACCCGGGTTTCTGGATTCTGTTTGTAGTTAAGTACTTCTTTGCCTTCGCTTCCAGTTCAACATCACCAGCCCCCTGGGAAATATACCAGGGGGATTGCCATTTTACCCCCAAGGAAAGCCAGGCTCAGAGAGTACATTAGCTTGTGCAGGATCACTCAGTAAGAAGCAAGTCCAAGATTAAAACCTTCACTCCTTAAAGAGTAGTGTTTTTTCCATCAGCACGGAACCATGAGAGGCAGGATCTGTGGACTCCAAGCATTCTTATTTTGAAGGTGAATACTCAAAATATAAGACCTGAACTGTGGACACTGTTTAAATCAGTAACTCAACCAGTAGCCACCTGCTTTAAATCTGGATTCTGCCGACCTTGGTCATATTTGCTTCTCAGAATCCCCAAGGCAGGTCCAAAGTTGTGTCTCCTATGCTTAAGGCAGAGACACTTCAAAGCATATTCTGCCAGACTACCATAGTAGTGAGGCCTGACAGATCAGATTTTCCTGAAGAGTGGAAGCTTGTCACTTCCCCTCTACCTCAGCCTCTCTGAGTAATAACGAGTCACTCTAAAACCTAGCTTCTCTGCACTTCCTGAATATGGAAATGACAGTCCTGGCTTACCACACCAGGACCTGTTAGCAAGCTTAATTTTGTAAGAGAAATTGCTTATAAGTTTTTTTGTCAGTGGGTACCATGATCACCTTTTATACATAAGGGACTAGTATGTTGGACAAAGAATTTTTTAAAAGATTCATTTATTTATTTATTTTGAAGAGAGAGAGAGCGGGGGAGAGGGAGAAGAGGGAGAGGAAGAAGGAGAGAATCTCAAGCAGTCTCCCTTCTGAGTGCAGAGCCTGACGCAGGGCTCGATCCCATGACCCTGAGATCATGACCTGAGCCGAAATCCAGAGTCTGATGCTTAACTGACTGAGCCACCCAGGTGCCCTGCAAAGAATTTTTGTTCATGTTTCTTAAGGGAAGGAAGAAGAGTAGTTCTTTTATCGGAACAGATATAAGTACACAAAACACTGCATCCTGGAATCCACCCCAGGTCCAAATCCTTTTTGGGATCTTTTCTTGGAATGTGGTAGCTATAGTCCTAGAGCCTCTTTGGGCATATTTCCTCCAAGGCTCTTTTTTTTTTTTTTCCTTTAAAAGAAACCAAAGTATGACTACTGGAAAATAACAAAATTAAAGGTGGATCTATCAAACCGTTTGTATCTGTGTATTTTTTTTTTTAATCCGCTTGCCACACCTTTCATCCACAGAACTCAAGGTGCCATGGAAAGAATCTCTGAGGAGAAAAACTAGGGGACTTGTGATAACTTCCAAGGAGCAAAGCCCTCACAGGTGAGGGTGGGCTTGTGATCATTCTGCTCTGGTTACCTTTGCAAGTGACCTGAGGACTCATCAAATCCAAAATCCGCAGCCATGGCTGAGAGACGTGCCAATGATCTCAGGAAGTTGATAAATGAGCCAAGTTGAGAACCTAGACGTCTTTTCCCTCCTTTCCACCTACCATTTACAGGCCTCAGCATAATCTTTTCATCGAGATAAAGAATCGGAGAGACATCTAACTTGTGGCCCACCTCAAAAGGTGATTTTAATGGTCATTTCCCATATGTTTTGTAGAGAGTTGAAATGATGAAAGATATTTCACATGGCAGTAACAATGGGCAGGTAACTTGGTGTTCTGACAAACCCCATTTCAAACCCAGTTGGACAGACTGTCACTTAGAACCACCTGGGGGTATCTTGTCCTAGGTAGGCACCTCATAAATGTTTCACAAAATAGTGTCCAAAAATGGGCTAGAGGTTTCTATTAAGGTGTGGGTTGCTTGTTTTTTTCAGAAACCTTAGAGATGCTGATCCTCAAACACTACATAACACTATTGAGTTGTCACATGTATCAGGCACCCTACCGAACGTCCTAGAACGGTGTTTCCCACATGTGCTTCCCTGCCCTGTGCATGAACACGACTGGGCAACTTCCCTGGCTCTACCCCAGACCTACTGAATCAGAAATGTGGGGGATGAACCCAGCAATCTGTGTTTTAACAACCTTCCGGGTGATTCTGATCATAACAAACTTCGAGAACCACTGCTTTATATGTATTCTCTCATTTAATTCTCAAAACCCAATCCTAGTATCAGTCTTGTATTACTAAGAATGAGACCAAGGCACGGGAGTGCTCAGTATGTGCTCACTAGCCTCAGGGACTAATGGCTAGCGTGTTGGACAGTGTGGATAGAGAATATTTCCATCATCACAGAAATGTCCATTGGACACTGCCGGGTGAAGACATTCAGCTTGCTGATTTTGCTTGTAGTAGCTCAAACACATACAGGTCAGATACTACTTAGCACTTGCTCTCTGCAGGGCACTTTGTGTGTTTATATGTGCTATCTCATTTCATATTTCTGTCAGGCTATAACATAGGAACGATCAGTGCTGCTCTTTCAAGTAAATAAACAAAGATTCGGCCACTTGCATAAATTCACACATTGATTATTACTCTCTAGTATCTCCGAGTTAGGAACCCACTGATACCCCTTAACTGGTGTGCCCAAGGGAATGGTCTGCCCCTTCTTGACCAGTCTAGATTCTTCTCTCGGCACTTGTGAGCCTCTCCTGTGTGTCCCATGACCTTAGCCCTCGCTTCTCCCTCCCTGCCTCCCTTCCTCCTACCTGTGCTTCTTGCTTCAATGCTTCTGCAGTTATTCCCAAAAGTTCTTCATTTGCGCACATGGCACCGTCTAGTTGGCTTTTTCCTGCAACCTTTACTTTCCTCTAGTTCATGCGGTCAAGGGCTGTGTGCCTGTGTCACTAGTGAAAGGGGGTGACTGTGCCATGTTGTGGTTCTTGGTCTCTTTGTTTTTAACATGACAACTCTGGGGATGCCTGGGTGGCTCAGTCGGTTAAGCATCTTCCTTGGGCTCAGGTCATGATCCCAGAGTCCTGGGATCGAGTCCCACATCAGGCTCCCTGCTCAGTGGGGAGCCTGCTTCTCCCTCTGCCTGCAGCTCCCCCTGCTTGTGCTCTCTCTCTCTCTCTCTCTGACAAATAAATAAATAAAATCTTTTTAAAAAATGACAACTCTGTTCTCATTGACTCTGTGTTCTCCCTGTGTGATCAACATTCCCTTTTCACTGTCAACCAGAGGGGGTCTTTTGAAATTTCTTTGGCTGGGAAGAGACCATTCCTCCCTGAAATAGAGCTGAAAACAGAATGCCCCTCACTCTCATGTCATTTTTCCAAGTACCTCAATTGGCCGAATGACCCGGAGGCTTAACTGTTAATCATTTTAAGTTCTCAGATGTTCATTTCCAGTAATTCTATTCCATTGGCTAGGCAGGGATTCTGTTCTTTCTCTAGGAAGGAAACCAGTTCAGCGGGCTGGTGACTTACCCTCAGATACGTAATTCAGCATTGTGACAAATGTCTGTGTAGGGCCTTCTTTGTGGAAGGTACGGGGAAAGACGATATGCCAGGAGGTTAGAGGAGGACACAGAGGTACTAGCTGGCAAAGACTGAGTGAGCATGGCAACAAAAGATCATCCAAGATGTTTAGGGAAGGAATAAAATAGATACATGATGGGAGAAAGGGCTTTCCAGTAAGAAACTAGGGCACAGGGACATGAAAGCATTTAGGGAAGAGCCAATCCACACAGTATGTGGCAAAACGAGAATGGAAATACTAGTTGAAATTGTCAATATATGATTGTAATTTTTTTTCCAAAAAAATAACTTCCTGGTAGTTCGGTGTGGATCAACCTGATCTATCCAATGAACAAGCATTTTGTCAAGCTCTTGTCTTACAGGTACCATCAAAACACCAAGAATTAGAAATGAGACACAGTCTCAAGAGATGTCTGTTGGAGATGCACATGGAAAGCCAGTGAGAGGTAGAATAGGAACTAGAAGCAAAGTCTTCTGGGTCTTGTACCTCTCTCGGATACATGCCATTGACTATGGTATTAGCTCTTGTTTATTTGAAATATGGCTTCTGAATGTCACACTCGCTTAGTGGCTCTGAAAGGAACAGAATATTTAGTATTTGATATAGCCATGTTGGCTCTATG